ACCGCCACCAAGTTCGTAGAGAACGAGGGGAGGTAAAGACCGGACAGGGAGCCAGACGGGACCGCTGGACATGGCAGGACAGTGGAGTAGTGAGCAAGGACAGGACCCCCAGAGGGGTCTGCCAGGGAGACCGCAACCGGCCGACTGAGCGGCGTGAGAGTGGTGCGGTCTCGAAAGAAGGAGCGGGAAGCACCCGAGTCAAGGGTGAAAGTGTGCGACGCCGGAGCAGACGTGGTACCTGAGAGAGCAGACTCACCAGCACCTGGAGCAGCAGACTCACTAGCACCTAGAGCAGCAGCTGCACCGTCCTGGTCGGGCGGAACACTCAGGTAACAGTCACCGTCATCACTAGTAAGCAATGCATACATGGCGGTGAGGATAGCATCATAGTCAAGAGCATAGATATCTACCCTCTGCCGGAGCAGCTCCACCCAGTCGGGGAGCTCAGCCGCGTCGCCAAACTCTGTACGCCAGGCGTCGCTCAGACTGGCGAAGCAGCGGGACTCTGTGTGACCAAACGTCCCGCAAGGCTGGCCAGTCCGAGCACCAGTGCGAATGACGTACGGGCAGCGAGCAGAACCCCGTGACCCCCCCCGCTGAAAGTACCACTCATGAAGCTGCGGGGGCGAAGGGACCGCGCGCACACGACGCTGCAGCTGCACCTGGCTACTGCAAGAAGCCCCGAAACTACTCACACCAGAACGACTCCCACTACGGCCACCCCGACAACCCCAACGAGCGTACCACTCATGAAGCTTTGGGGGCGTGAGGGACTCACGCGGACGGCGCTGGAGCTGCATCCGGCCACGTCAGGAGCAGCAGTAGCAGTAGAAAGCGCAGTAGCCGTAGGAGCAGCACGAGCAGCAGTAGCAGGAGAAAGAGCAGCAGCAGCAGGAGCAGTAGTAACAGCAGTACGGGCAGGACAGTGCTCACCAGTGGCAAGAAGGGCCGGCGTACAACGGCGGCAACGGCGAGGCCGGCACCACTGTAGGGCGAGGGCTCCGCGGCAGCTGCAGGTGGCGGCTGCTCCAGGGGCGGCTGCTCCAGGGGCCAGGGGCGGCTGCTGCAGGGGCGGCTGCTCCAGGGGCGGCTGCTGCAGGGGCCAGGGGCGGCTGCTGCAGGGGCGGTTGCTCCAGGGGCCAGGGGCGGCTGCTGCAGGGGCGGCTGCTGCAGGGGCAGCTGCTCCAGGGGCCAGGGGCGGCTGCTGCAGGGGCGGCTGCTGTAGGGGTGGCTGCTCCAGGGGCCAGGGGAAGGGACGGCTGCTGCAGGGGCGGCAGTGGCCAGAAGGGCAGGCGTACGACGGTGGCAACGGCAAGGCCGGCACCACTGCAGGGCGAGGGCTCCGCGGCAGCTGCAGGGGGCAGCTGCTCCAGGGGCGGCTGCTCCAGGGGCCAGGGGCGGCAGCTGCAGGGGCGGCTGCTCCAGGGGCCAGGGGCGGCTGCTGCAGAGGCAGCTGCTCCAGGGGCCAGGGCCGGGCAGGGCCGCTGCTCGGCTGCAGAGCAGAACCGGGACGGCGGCGGCGGCTGCTACGCCAGGGGCAGCGGCGGCTGTCACGGCAGGAGCGGCGATGGCGGTCACGGCAGCAGCGGCGACGGCGAACGGCCGTGACGGAAGCGGCAGCGGCAGCAGGGGCCAGCAGCGGCGGCAGCAGGGGCAGCTGCTCCAGTAGCCAGGGGCGGCTGCTGCAGGGGCGGCTGCTCCAGGGGCAGGGGCGGCTGCTGCAGGGGCGGCTGCTCCAGGGGCAGGGGCGGCTGCTGCAGGGGCGGCTGCTCCAGGGGCCAGGGGCGGCTGCTGCAGGGGCGGCTGCTCCTACAACAAGCAAGTAGCAGCAGCTGCAGCAAGTAGCAGCAGTGGCAGCAAGTAGCAGCAGCTGCAGCAAGTAGCAGCAGCGGCAGCAAGTAGCAGCAGCTGCAGCAAGTAGCAGCAGCTGCAGCAAGTAGCAGCAGCTGCAGCAAGTAGCAGCAGCTGCAGCAAGTAGCAGCAGCTGCAGCAAGTAGCAGCAGCTGCAGCAAGTAGCAGCAGCTGCAGCAAGTAGCAGCAGCTGCAGCAAGTAGCAGCAGCGGCAGCAAGTAGCAGCAGCTGCAGCAAGTAGCAGCAGTGGCAGCAAGTAGCAGCAGCGGCAGAAAGCAGCAGCACAGGCGCAATGCAGCGTGCAGGCCTGGCGTGGGCTGTTCCGGCCGCGCGCGGGCCTGACGTGGCCTGTACGGGCTGCGCGATTGCCTGGCGAAAGGTGGCGAAAGAGCCACAGGCGGCGGCCGAAGGGGACGCGGTGGCGGCGCGCGGCGGTCGACGAGCGGCTAGGGAGCCGCGCTAAGTGCCGCGCGAGGCCAGATCAGGCTGCGCGCGGGCGGCGACGACGGCGCGAGCGGCTAGCGGGCCGCGCGCTGAGGAAAACGGGCTGCGCGCGGGCGGCTTACGCGACGCGCGGGCCGGCGGCAGGCTGCGCGGGCGGCTGACGTGGCGCGCGGGGCCGAAAACGGGCCTAAACGGGCCTAAACGAGGAGCGCGCGGGCTGCTCAAGCGGCGCGCGCGGGAAAAAAAAGGGCCGCGCGCGTGCACCCGAGGCGCGCGCGGGCAGCAGGCAAGGCAGGTGAGGTAACGTGGTAACGGTGGGCCCTTATCTTAGGTCCTAGAGACCTCTAGGCTCTAGATACCATCTTAGAATCTTAGGCATGAAGTTGTGTGAGATTAGGTCAAGGTTGGGGTACAAGTTGTGTCGAGAATGTTTCTGTACCCTCTAAGGCTAGCCCCAATATAGCCTAGATACTAATATGCATATGTTTTGACAAGTACAAGATACAGGCAAGAGAGGCAACAATTGGTACACCAATATAAGAAAACTAAATAACCACACCAACTATATAGTTTATTAAGCACACTCACCAGAGAATAATGGCAGGAATTAAGCAACAAGGGGGGCTATATAGGAGCTTGTACTCCTTATAAGCTTACTGCAGTGGGCTACACTAGGGACAGGTGGCTAAGGGAGCCTTAGATCTATGCTATGCAAAGACTAAACTAAGCTTGAGAGCTTGGAGGCTGGGCCTAGTCTCTCTCTCTCTCTCTCTCTCTCTCTCTCTCTCTCTCTCTCTCTCTCTCTCTCTCTCTCTCTCTCTCTCTCTCTCTCTCTCTCTCTCTCTCTCTCTCTCTCTCTCTCTCTCTCTCTCTCTCTCTCTCTCTCTCTCGAACGAGCCGCTGGGTTGGGAGGAACCAAACTCACGAGAGAATAATAGGAGAGGTGGTGGAGGTCATGCATGAGCATGACAGCTCACTACTAGCGAACCCACTTACTAACCCCCAAGTCCCCACCCCACATTCAACCACCACCTTAACCTCACCCCCTTTTCAGCTACCCCTTTTAATCTCACCCCTTCTCACCCTTCCTCTAGAACCTTCACCAACCATAGCTGTCCTTACATGATTCTTACCGCAACCCCCTCAGCCTCCCCCTTCAACGTCAGGGGCGGCAGAGCAACGGGTAACAGTGCAGCCCCACTCCCGCCACATCTCCTCAACTATTCGCCGCCAACCCCATTACATCCCCTAACAGCAGGATTGTTGAGGAAGGTGAGGGTGAGGCGATAAGGGAGGGGTGCAGATGCAACAGCCGCAGGCGCAGTAGTTGCAGCCGCAGAAATTTCAGTCGCGGTAGCAGTAGAGGGTTTGGCGGGAGGGTGGGTAGAGACTGCTGCTGAAGTGCAACGGGCAGGGCTCGGGGCCGGAACGGGGGGGCTTGCCGAGGGTCGCGACGAGCGGGACAGGGGGAAGCTAACGCGGGGGGCCGGGACGGTGGCGCAGGTTAACGTGATGAAACAGGCGGGACGAAACGGACGTGTCGACGGTCGACGACGGGCGCCGCGCCAGGAGGGGCGTGAGCTCGTTTACGTTCACTACTGTGGCGGCCATCGCGATTGTTGCTACGGGCATCGCAACTGAGGGCGCAATGGGTGCCATGACGGGCGCCATTGGAGAGAGAGAGAGAGAGAGAGAGAGAGAGAGAGAGAGAGAGAGAGAGAGAGAGAGAGAGAGAGAGAGAGAGAGAGAGAGAGAGAGAGAGAAACATGTGGCAGGCAGCAATGCCTAGCTTGATACCATGTCAGAATCTTTGTAGCTTGGGAGCCTTAGGCATGGAAACGTGAGAGATATCGTGAGAAAAGGGGGTTCACTAATGGGTAAAGTATAAGATATAGGAATGAGAAGCATCAAATGGTACATCTCCAACAAGAAACTATATGATTATGTCAGAAGACCGGGACTGGGAATTTCCGATTGATCCTAGGAAAAAGTTACAGGCATGTTATCCAAGGGGGCTATGGGCGTACAGACCTGCTACTGGAACAAGCTCTTTTATATCTAGTGGTCTAGTGACTGAGATTCTCCCAAGTACACTGCAACCACGACTACATGCAGCTATGCAGAGATAGTGTCTAAATTTGTATTATAACAAGAGGTAATGCACCGAGAAGTTGAGCGGCTTGGGATGGGGAGTGAGGATGCAAGCCAGGCAGGTCACGGGAGGACAAGGGAGGAAGGAGGCGGCGAAGGAAGGGGGGAGGAAGGGAGGAGGAAGGGGGGGGGGGGGGGGGGGGGGGGGGGGGGGGGAGGGGAAGGTATGATAATAAGGGGAGGGACATTGAGGGACCAAACAAGGGAGCAGAACAGACCATGGCACAGGCCCGCTGAACGAACGTCATGTGTAGGTGCATCCGCCCGCATTCCCGACCTTGTCTGCAAGGACCTAGTAGAGGAATTAATGGTACATGTGAATGCTTCTATTGCAGGTCCACAGCTAGGATGGGACGGGGAGTGGGGGGGACTTTGTAAATGTAGTTTTCTCCTATTTATTTTCTTCGTTTCTTTCTCTTCTCCTTATCCCACCTACTCCCCATTCACTTTCCACCTCTACTCTCATTATATAGTCATATCATGTAACATCTGTTATGGTGCGCACTCTTCATTATAGCTAATAGCAGGTTTCCCATTATCTGGAAGCAGTTACGATGCACTACAAAGGATTTCATGTCAAATTCTCGCTGGCTTTGTCATTTTTACCAGCAAGCATTATGGCTGTTGTCGCCGTCTTCTCCGCCGCCACTTGCGCCAATGCCTACGTCGCGTTCCGGCCATTGCCTCTCTCATCCCGCAACTTGACTACTGAGTTTCTGGAGAGAAAACGATGGCTGCGAGAAAAAGGCATTTCGGTCAGCAAAGCATCGCGAATGCAGAAGCGCGGAAGGAGCGCGCGGAGGGGCGGAGACCTTGTCTCAGGGGAGCTTCAAGAAATGGAGGGGGAGCAGAGGCTCCGCGGAATGCGGGCTATGGCGGAAGGTGAAAGGCCCGAGGACGCGGCTTTCATGCGGCGCGCGCTCGAGCTGTCGAGGCAGGCGCTGGGTCGCACGTCGCCGAACCCGATGGTGGGATGCGTGATTGTAAAGGACGGTGCCATTATCGGGGAAGGCTGGCATCCCAAGGCTGGCGAGCCGCACGCGGAGGTAAGCAGCGACGACGACGGCGCCACAGCGAGAAGAGAAGCCTGGCATGGATTGACATTCGCATGTCGCATGCGAGGAATCGCATGGCGTCGCACGGCAGGTGTCGTGGCAGGGCTATCGCGGACTGCCAAATGTCATGGCATGGCATGGCATGTCGCGTCAGTCCCGCCTCCCTCACCGCGTTGTCCTTCCCTCGCCCCTCACCAGGTGTTTGCGCTGCGAGCAGCGGGCAAGGCGGCAGCGGGCGCGACGGCGTACGTGACGCTCGAACCCTGCAACCACCACGGGCGCACGCCGCCGTGCAGCCAGGCGCTAGTGAAGGCGCGCGTGCGGCGCGTGGTGGTGGGGACGGTGGACCCGAACCCCCTCGTGGGCGGGGAGGGCGTGCAGACGCTGCGGCGGGCGGGCGTGGAGGTGGTGGTGGGCGTGGAGGAGGCGGCGTGCCGGCGCAACGTGGAGGCGTTCATGTTCCGCATCGCCAACCAGCGCCCCTACTCCATTCTGCGGTGCGTGCGCGCGCTGCCTCCTCCCACGGGTGGATGGGACTGGGGAGGAGGCAAAACTGTTCCTGCCCAACTACGTATTTGTTCCGGTGGACCGCAGGGCTGGGTGAAGCTAGATAGAGGTTGTGGGAGGGGTTTTGGTAGGTGTTGAGATTTTTTGGCATGCTGCTATTGGCGTAGCTTGCTGGCGGTTTCAGGTAGACTTCTTCATTTCCTTTCACTTGTGCTTCTCCTTCTCACCATGCCCTTCCAACCCCCTCTCCCTCCCTCTCCCCCCTTCTCTTCCCCCCCCTCTTTCTTGCATTTCCACCAACCCTGTTTCTGCACCCACCAATCCACCCTGCCATGCAGCTACTCCCTCTCTCTCTCGGGCTCGCTGCTCCCATCCATCGGCACATCAGGCTGTGCTGCGGGCAGCTACCGCAGCCAGCTCTTGGCGGAGTACGACGCAGCTGTCATCACAGACACCGACCTCCTCTCTGCTGTTGCTGCTGCTGGTTCCGACGGCGACGCTGCTTCATCTGACTCCTCTACCAGCCCAGCGTCCCTCCTGTCCTCGGAGCCCGATTGCCAGCAGCCGCTGCGTGTGGTCGTTGCTCGCTCCCTCACGCACCTCCCTCGCTCCGCACCCATTTTCGACACCTCGCTGGCGCCCACACTCGTGGTAACCAGCGAGTCTGCAGTGGTAGTAGATGTGAGTGCGGCGGCGGCAACAGGCCGGGCGGCAGCGGAGCAGTGGCTGGGGGAGTGCGGAGTGGATTTAGTGGTGCTGCCGGATGGGTTCTCCCCATGTGATGTCATGGAGCTGTGTCTGGAGCGTGATTGCAACTCCGTGCTCTGGGATTGGCACCCGGTGGCGCAAGGCGCCGCTGGTAATAGCACCAGCAGCAGCGACGGCGACGGGGACAGCTCTTCTAGTGGTGGTGAGGGCTGGTCGCTGGGCAGCTGGCTGATGGAGGATGATGCAGTGGAGAAGGTGGTGGTTGCGCTCTCACCTGTGCTGGGTGGTTGTGCACCGAGGGAGGCAGCAAGCAGCAATGGCGGGTGGCTAGAGGGTGGCGTGGGAGAGATGTTTCCACTGCATGGTCTGCATGCGCATGTGTGTGGTGAGGATGTTATTGTGGAGGGGTACGTTCAGAAGTAGTTGACATTTTGTGCAGTAAAATCTGGTGCTGTTTTGTGTCCATTGTTAAAGTGCTGATTACACGTTTATACAGGATGTAGTGTAGCCGGATGTTTGTTCCAAGGTTAATTGTAGCGCTTCCGATCTTGGCGCGTGCATGCGTTGGCGATCCCAAGGACCCCGCCTAGCTGGCTTTTCGCTACACCGTATTTGTGCTAGGCTTCATCATTCAGTCAGTATCACGTTTCGTTATTGAATTCGCGTACTCTCTTTCTTTGTCAACTTGTAATACTCCTCGAATTTAGCTGATGAAAGTCACGCCCCTTGCAACCAAATCCTCGTGGCGTACGCGACACGCACCACACGAGTCCCACAATTATAA